AGCCATTTGTTTGTCAAGGACAATCCCCGGTGTTTCCAAAGGCCATTCCAACTATTGACATCTTCCTCGTCATGTTTCTGCAAAGTGAAGTAATTGTCTTCATTTTAGGAGCCAGGAACCCGAAACACCAATGCTCACAGAAACACCTGTTACCTGCAGAGGAATGGGCTAACCCCCACACTGAGGCGCTGGCAGAGTCTCCTGAGAGCTTAGAACCAGGGAACTTGGATGAATCTCTCTCTACCCCAAAGACAGAAGACAGTTCTTCTCTGCTTTTATTGAGATATCACTTACATGAATAAAATTCACCCGATTTCAGTGTACAGTTAGATTCGTTTTGGCAAACCGTCTCTCGAAACAGGATGTAGAACATTTCCATGACCCTAGAAAGTCCCAGTGCCCCTTTGCAGTCAGTCCCCTTCCCCGCCCCCACCCCAGGCCACCCCCCCGCCCCCGCTTCTGCAGGGCTCTTATCACGGGCCCCTGCAGTGTCTCTGCTTCCTGTGCCCCTGGGTGCTCCCACTCACTCATCCTGCAGGTCCCTTCCCCTGAGACCAGGTCAGGTGACTGAACCCCTCAGAACGGGTGAGGTGACTCTTCTTGTGTCCCACCCCCCAACCCAGTTCCTGTCACAGGTAGTGCCATGTGATGAGTCTGCCCAGCTCATTCCCTGTTACACCTGAATCACCTGAGGGGGACCCTGTATTAGCCTGGTTATCAGCCCTTGGGGGTTGGGGGCTTAGGAGTTCCATGTATCTTTTTTAAAATTTTATTTATTTTAGGGGCTCCTGGATGGCTCAGATGGTTAAGCCTCTGCCTTCGGCTCAGGTCATGATCTCAGGGTCCTGGGACTGAGTCCTACATGGGTCTCCCTGCTCAGTGAGGAGTCTGCCTCTCCCTCTCCCTCTGCCCCTCCCCCCTGCTCGTGCGCTCTCTCAGGCTCTCTGTCTCTCTTTCTCTCAAATAAATAAATAAAATCTTTTTAAAATTTTATTTATTTGAGAGAGAGAGAGAGTGCGGGGGAGGGGCAGAAGGAGAGGGAGAGAGAGAGAGAATCTCAAGCAGACTCCGAGCTGAGCACAGAGCCTGATGTGGTGCTTGATCCCACAACCTTGAGATCATGACCTGGACCAAAACCAAGAGTCAGCTGTTTAACCTACTGAGCCACCCAAGCACCCCTAGGAGCCCCAGATATCTTTAACTCCCTCTTTCCTCTTTTACTTTTATGTTTTCGTAAAGTTGTCATTAATTTTGTTTCCTTGATGCTAAACAACTGGGGACAGCAGCTGCTACCAGTTCTGGTCAAACTGGGGACAATGACTAGAACAAGTTGGGAAGAAGATGAGGTAATTTGTCAAACAGCAAAATGCATTTTTTCCTTAGAGTAGATCTTGCTTGTTTTCACCATTGTGCCATCGACATTTTCCAGGTTGTGAAAGAACACAGTGCAGATGGGGGTGGAGGCAGACACCAGCCTTCACCCCAGTGGGAACTCCACACCTCCTTGGGAAAACACGCATCTTCCTTCTTACCCATGTGGGCACCTCCCAATGAATGGGTGTGGTGAGGCTCATCTCTGATGTGTCAGAGGCGAAAGGATATAAGAATGGCACCGATCAGGGGCGCCTGGGTGGCTCAGTCTGTTGAGTGTCCGATTTTCGGTTTCAGCTCAGGTCCTGATCTCATGGGCTGTGGGATCGAGCACAATGTCAGGCTCCACGCGCAGGGCAGCATCTGCTTAAGATTCTCTCTCCTTCTCCCTCTGCCCCTCCCACACGTGTGCTCTCTCTCTCTCTGTCTCTCTCTCGCAAATAAATAAATCTTAAAAAAAAAAAAAAGAATAACACCGATCAGAAGCTTTTATCAAATGCTCCACTGAGCATGATCCTATATGGGACATTGTCCGATCTCAAAACCTGAAAAGCTTCTGCTTTGTCTTCTAAGTGTTCCCAAATAGTGCCCAACAGACCAGAGACAAAGCTAAATGAATCTCAGCCACAGACTCGAGAAGCCAAACATTCAAAATTATGTACGAATAAGGAAAAGCAACACTTAATTTAGGGTTGTCAGTTATACTCTCTTAGCTGTGGCTAATGATGTCCCTATGCCAGACGACAGTTTGAGAAAATCAGAGGACTGGGTTCACCAGCGTCCAGCAGACAGCATGATGCCTGACGCACGTTTGCGTTAGGCATTTTCATGAACATGATCTGATTTAATCTTCCTGACAATCCCATTTTACAGATGATAGAACGGAGGGGCAGAACACATTAAAGGGAATCCCGAAGCTCCGGGGTGACCCCAGCAGGTTGCCCATTCTCCTCTCTCTTACCCTCCTGCTTGTCATGATGTGAATCTGGGTCCCCAGAGTGAGCAGGGAGCACACTGCGTTAATCAGGCTGGGCAGGTTCATCTGCGTAGCTGCTACAGGCAAGATGAGATTTCATGAAATATCCGATTCCTGGAGCTGCCAGGACAGAGTGACAGAAGACCCGCAAACCAGGTCCAGGGTGTGGCTTGGGGAAGGGAGAGGCCCAGACAGACCCTGAGTCTCTCTGTAGCAAAAAGAGAGAGAGCTGGAGAGCACAGGGCACCCTGAGGAGGGCTGGGAAGCACAGATGGGCATTTACAGCCAGTTTGGGAGGCCAGTCCTTGGGGCACACGGTGGGAATACATCTGTAAGAGAGGTATTGGGTACATTACATTCATGGCTGCAAACGGGCCCGATTTCTTTCCTCTGGCCAGCAGGATCCAAGAAAATGTATTCTGATGCTCAAGGATAGGGCAGGAATGGACTCTGTGGTGTCTGCAGCCGGGCTCCCTACCGGGTGCAAGTGCTTCACTCCCCTATGATGCGTGCCTGGCCCCGAGGCGTTGGGTCTGTGATTCTGCCTTAACCTCCTTTGCTCTTGGTGACTTGCCTGGCCTGGAGCCCCAGAAGCTCAGCCCAAAAGGGGCCTGGAGCAGGCGGAGTATGAGGGGTTTCTCCAGCTTGCTGCCTGCATTCCACCAGTCTGGCCTCAAGGGTGATCGTGCGCTTGGTGGGAGGCCTCCCTTGTTTTCAGCAATTCTCTCAACCTGGCTCCTAAGTCTGTAGCTCGGTCAGCTCCCGGACCCGAACATAGCTAGTGCATCTGGGCGAGCGGCTGTAAAGTTCCCCGAAATTGGACACAATTCATGTTCAGGCTCAGGCTTCTATTTTCCTAAATAAGTAAAACAAAAACAAACCAAAACAAACAAACAAACAAACAAACTTCAGAGTAAAAATGAGCCCTCCAAATTTTGTAGGGAAAGAAAAATCTAATGAGCATTTACCTCCCCAAAGTGACTCTCCCCTGAATGCCAGAAACTTCATATGAACTCAAAATGATCAGGATCAGAGAGTTCTTTCCTTTGCACACCCAGCCCTCCCCGAAACATGCGCTACCAGCGTCCTGCACTGGCCAGGTCCTCCAGGGCCAGTGGGAGGGCAAGGTGACATGGGAGTGTCCCTCCCACGTCCCTACGCACTTTCCTTCAATGCCTGAAGCCTTGCAGGGGGACCACCACCACTCCCAGGCCAGGCCTTCCGGATAAAGATAACCGGGTGGCAGGAGGAGGGAGTTATTCAATTCAACAGGTATTTATTGAGAACCGCGAAACACTTAGGACATTGAAATAAGACAGGGAATATCCTCGTTTCTGAAAAATTCTGCTCTAGGCTGGGGGGCTGGCTGCAGTCAGTGAGCTCTGGGCTATTTTGCCAGGAATGTATGAGATCACTGAGCATTTCCAGCAGGTAAGAAAGTCACTCTTCTCCTCCGCAGGGAACAGTTAGGGGCAGGGGATGGAGCCTGGGCCCTGAGAGTGACAGCGGCCCCACTTACCATCTAAAGGACTTTGATCAAGTCAAATTGCTACCTCCAAGCCTCAGTTTTCTTATCTGCAAAATGGGAAAATAGTGCCCACTTTGCAAAGATGGCTGTGACCATGACATCGCTAGGCCTCTATGCCCAGCCCTCATCCCCTCAGCTTCCTTGGAACCAACACTGGACACAGACGTGACCACCGCACGAGAGGACACAATCCAAGATGGCAGTTCTCACCTTGACTACACAGGGGGAGCTTTCAAAAACCCAGATGACAGGGCTGCACCGCAGGCTGCTCAAATCAGACTCCCTGGGGATGAAGCCCAGGCATCCGGTTTTGCAAAGCTCCCCAAGAGATTCCAGTGGGCAGCCAAGGCCAACAGCTGCTGAGCCAGAAGGAAGGAGAAATGGAATTATTTCATCTCTATAGAAAGTTGGGGGAGGTTATTACTACTCACTGTTAATTATAGTATTATGCCCTGTACAATTTGAGGTTTACAAACTACACAAGTTATATTTATTCAGAAATTTATACATTGCTAAATAGTTTCACATTCATGATCAAATGACATCTTGAGAGAAATTTTTTTTAAAGATTTTATTTAGTTATTTGAGAGAGAGTGAATGAGAGAGAAAGAGCACAAGCCGGGGGGGGGGCGGGAGAGGCAGAGGGAGAGGGAAAAGCAGGCTCCCCGCTGAGCAGGGAGCCCACCCCACGACCCCGGGATCATGACCTGAGCCGAAGGCAGATTCTTAACCAACTGAGACACCCAGGCGCCCCTTCAGGGAAAGGTTAAAGCTGAGAAAATGGAGGCCTGGAGAATTTATTGACAAGCAGAAGGTGTGTCAAGTAAATGGACAAACACGTCCAGAGTGAAGGTCCGGCTTGACACCCTCTCTCCTTCCACCCCGCCCCAGCACCCCCCACTGATCTCTGTGAGGGAGCTGTGGTCCAGACCTGCCGCTGAGCGCCAGACCCTGGGCCAAGATGCCCCTCCAGTATTCCCCCACCCCACCCCCACCCCCCACCCCCAACGTTAGCACCCAGGCAGCTCAACCGGCCCAGCACTGCTCAAGGCCCCTCCCCAGAGCCCCCTCCTCGGCTGTTTTCCATCTGTGCACAGGCACTGAAGTCTCCACCGTGGGCACCCCTTCATCCGCATTTGGCGGGTGGAGTTGGCCACCCCCAAGATGCCCTGGGAACCCGTCCACTTTCCATTAACCTGGCCTCCACCGCCTGGTCACAGCTTCTCCCCGGACATTCCAATAACCCGCTGCTCCTCCCCCTGCACCGCTCGCCCCTCCAGTCCCTGCTTCTGGCCTGTCCGCTGGACCCACTGAGGTCCGGAAGTTGCGCAGTTTCTTCGTGTAAAACGGTGAGCGTTCTTGAGTGTCTGACAGGTAGAGCCCCCTACAAAAGCGCGTGCACCCGCACGCGCGCCCCAAAGCGGCCTGCTCCCGGTGCGTCAGACACGGGGACCACTTTGTGTGACGAACCCCTTCAGCGAAGGGCTTGAAAACATTCAGAAGTATGCGGCCTGCCTTCTGCATCGTGGGACCACAGGCAGGTTCTGCAACTCCTCACACGTCTCGCCCCTAAAATGAGGACGGGAACGCCCGCTCACGAGGACGCAGGGATAACGAAACGGCCCGCGCACCCAATGCCTGGCGGGCAACCCCCGCTGATGGAAAGTTGAGAAGGCCCATGCTTCTCAGATGGGAGAAAGGGAGGAGGAAGGAAGGTCAGAGGTATTTGCCGGGTGCCCCTACACCATGCTGAGCTCCGAGCGGGAGCGTTGCTTTGGCGTCACTGTATCCCGGCAACAGGCGGGGGAGACCGTGACGTCATCCCCCGGGGGAGGCTCGGCGGCTGGCCGGGGTCCGCCTCAAATACATGGCAGGGGCTGGGTTCGCAGAGTCTGTACCCTCCAGGGTCTGAGGGAGCATGTTCCACGGGGTTCGACGGACATCTCCTTTTCCAGGGGATGAACAAGCAGTACGTCCGCCGGGAGGTCTTCTGCGGGAACACCTGTCACGAACTCAAGCGCTTCTGGGAGCGCGAGATCCTCAAGCAGACCTGCTACCGGGAATCCGAGGAGTACCGACTGGGAAGAAGTGCCCTGAGAAAGTATGTGGCGCCTTTGTCTATCTTTTTTTAAATTAGTTTTTAATAATGGACTTTATTTTGGGGGCGCCTGGGTGGCTCAGGCGGTTAAGCGTCTGCCTCTTGATGTCGGCTCAGATCAGGATCTCAGGGTGGTGAGATCCAGCCCCCCCGTCGGAGTCTGCTTGAGATTCTCCCTCTCCCTCTGCCCCCCCCCATGCACGTGTGCACTCTCTCTCAATAATAGTCTTTAAAAAAAAATAAAAATAGACCTTATTTTTAGGGCAGTTTTAGGTTCACAGCAAAATTAAGCAGAAAGTAGAATTCCCATATATCCCAGCCCCCCACCCACAACCTCCCCCACCATAAACATCCCCACCGTGAAGGCACATGGACACAGCACCCCCCCCCTCGTTTTTTTTTTTTTTTTGTTTTTTTTTTTTTTTTAGAAAAAAACTGATTTTCCCAGAAGAATGCCAGATGGGCATCTTAGAGGACGTAATTATTTCCATTTTTCTTGCATATATTCCTGCCACCACCTCTAGTAGACAGTAATTTTAAACATTCTTGCACCTTAGCAAATGGACACTTTGATTCGTATCTTTATAAATGGAAAAATCTCTCCTCTCTGTCACTGTTTCTAGGGCTTGAGGGTTGCACTAAATTTGGCGAGCAGGTCCTCAGATGTGTCTGTGAAAAGCAGCCAAGCCAAGGAGACAGTGACCAATGCTCAGTGCTTGTTTGGGTGAAGACACAGGATGCTCCGCGGGGTTCTCTGAGGGATTCCGTCACCCAGGTGCTGCGTGCGACTCCCTGCTGCAGCCGCCCGCCAGTCTGCCCCCTGCAGGGCAGTAACGCCCTGGGCAAACTGGGGTTGCCGTGGCTGTGAGAACAGAGGCAGTTCACCACTCTCACACACGGCCTCCGCTTCGGGGAGCCAGTGAGGGACCGGTCCCTCTGGGTCCTCTGTCCCCTCATGGAACAGCTCGGCTGCTGTCTGTCTGCACAGGGCACAGCCAGGATGGTGGGGCAGCCGTGTGCTGGCCCGACGGCAGGGGCCATGACTCCAGGCTGCTGGTACATGCTTGCTGGGCTGACGATATGCACCAGTTCACACCACTGAAACTCACAGCTGCCTTCCAAATGCCCTCCTGAGCCCTAGACGGGAACCGGCCCCTTCTACACATGGAGACCTGCTCGGCCAGATTCCTGGCCCCAGGCGAGGTTCAGAAGCAGGCTGTCCTGGCTGCTGGAGGGTCATGTTAGGGAATGTCCTCCAGGGATTCTCCGAGAAGCTGAGGTGGAAGGACGGTCAGTCATTTCTGTGGTCCCTGCCCTCTCCCTTCCCCAGGCCAGGCCGCTCAGCATGCTGCCCACACTGTGCATATGTGTGTGTGCCGTGCATGTGCATGTGTCCCCCAGGGATTACACAGAAGGTCTCCATGCAGCGGAACTGCTTGAAGAGGATGCAGAAAGTGAGGGCACGCTGAGGGGTGAGCAAATCAGCTCCGAGACAAACTGCAGTTCGTTAAGACACGAAAAGATATGGGCAGAGTGTCCGTCTATGCACTTAGCAAAATCCTGCAGGAAATAAGCTTACTAGCTGGTGGGATGGTGAGACTCGAACTTATTTATCCTTCTCTCCCCTTCCCATTTGAAACGCATGCCCCTCTCTGGAGGGTCTCTGCTCTTACCCACTACTCCGTCTAGTCCCTGCACCAGATGGAGAAGACAGTCCCAGTTCATTAGGTGGTTCCGAGGCTGGGACAGGAAAACATGCCTAAGGTCAGTTCCCCTGCATCCTGCACTCAGCCACTTAGTCCAGGATTGAATGTAGCAGAGGCAGAACGCCAGGGAACAGCCCAGCCCCTGCGCTCTGGGTGAGTTGGCAGATCTCCCTGTGCTTTGGGTTTCTCCTTGTTACTTTTACCGTGGACACTAAGAGGAGAAGGCTGTTGGAGAATCCCTGCCCTCCATCAGACTGAAGCGGGTGGTCAGTAGTGTTGTTCGAGTGTTCACATGGCCTGACTGCTGTCTTGCCTGTTCTCTCGATGGCTGAAATGTGGGTGTTGAAATCTTCAGCTGTAACTGCAGATTTGTCTATTTCTCCTTATAGCTCTGTCTCATTTCACTCCATTGTGAAGCTCCGTTTTTATACAAGTGTTTAGGATTGTTATATCCTCTTGATAAATTGATTCCCTTATTGCAAAATGACCCTCCTTCTCTTTGGTAATGTTCTCGCCTTTGAAGTCTACCTTGTCTGACTTTACTACAACCATTCGGCTTTCTCTGATTGGGGTTAAGATGGAATATTTTCCCATCCTTTGCTACTACAGGATTTTTGTTCCCTTAGTGCCCAAGGTTCTTGGTCATGGCGCTTCGAAGAATGAAGAGGTAGACCAGATGAAGAGTGGTGGGTAGCAAAGCAAAGTTTATTGAGCAATAGCACAAGGCTCTTGGAGAGGGAGGGGACCCGAGAGGGTTGCCATTTTGGCGTTCAAATCTAGGGGGTTTTGTAAGCTCTTTCGAGGAACTATCTTGAGCATCCTGAGTGTGGGCCCCTGTGGACTGGCCACTAAGGTGTGCCCCAATCTGGGCTTTGATCATGCACCGGTCTGCATCTCGGGTTATTGTTCCCGTGTTGCTGGTCTTTTGGGCTGCCCTGTGGAGACGAACTGCCTCACCTCGTGATAGTCACCAAGGTTTTATGGTTCATTGTTTTGTTTCAGGATGTTTTGCAAAAGTCACTCCTGCAGAGGCTGCTCCACAGGATGCTGTTGTGGTCTTGTCGAAGCTGTAAAACAGGACACTAGGACGGTTTTGTCTGAGCTGTCCCTGCTCCCTGTTTTCTTGTTGGGGACCCTGGCCCCAACTCCCTAAGTGTCCTATTAACTCTTAACACTTTTAATTTTAACCTATTGCCACCTTCATATCCAAAGTGATTTTCCTGCAGGTGACATCTATTTCAATACTGGTTTTTATTCAATTTGATTATCCTGCATTTTAATTGGGTGGCTCATATCATTAACGCTAACTGGTGCGATTGGGTTTAAATCTGCCATCTTGCTATTTGTCTCCTGGTCTCTCATCTGTTCTTCATTCCTTTCTTTTTCTGCCTTCTTTGGGGTTAATTAAATATTTGTCATGATTTCATGTCATCTCCTCTGTTGGCTTTTCCAGGATATCTCTTGGTGTTATTTTAGGGGTTGCTTTAGGATCTCTGTCATGGTGTGTCTTCTAGTGCCGCATGGTCCCCCGTAGGGCATGAGAGGCTTCCAGTGGCAGAACCCCACTGCTCCCCCTTTGGCCTTTCTGCTTCCACACATGTCATAAACCCCACACAGCATCATTAACAGGTTTGCTTTCAGACACTGATTACCTTTTAAGGGGCCCTTCCCTCCATCGTGCAGATCCCGATTTCCAACTGGTGTCATTCTCCCTCCACTTGACGGATTTCCTTTAACTTGTCCTGTAGGGACAGGCTGTTGGTGACAAATTCTTTCAGTTTTTGTATGGCTGAGGGCATCTTTATTTCACCTCTGGTTTTGAAAGATAGCTTGGCCAAGTAAACAATTCTAGATGGACAGAGGTTTCCCCCCACCCCGTGCTTTTTTTTTTTTTAAGGTTTTTTTTTTCCTTCACTTTTAAGTAAGCTCTACACCCAGCTTGGGGCTCGAACCCACAACTCCGAGATCAAGAGTTAGTTGCGTGCTCCACCAACTGAGCCAGCCAGGCGCCCCTCTCCCCATACTTTAAAGACACTGCACTCTCAAAGGAAAAGTTTGAAGGATTAAGACTAGAATAGGCTGAACAGAAGTGAGAGCTAAATATATACCTATAAAATATAAAATATGCATATATTTACATTTCTAGTCCTCTGCATACCTTTTAAAAACTGAATGCACACACACACACACACACACACCTTCAGGGGTAAAAAAGGGAAGGAAGCATCCCCAAACCAACCACCATGGACATGGTTGCCCCGCTAGCTATTTGGTTTCTATTTTCAGGCTCAGAGAGGAATGGAGGCAGAGACTGGAAGCCAAGCTGAGGCTGCGAAACAATCCAGATGAGACCGAAAAGCGGGCAAATGTGGGCCGGGAGCTTCTTGCTTCGCTGACACAAGAGGATTCAAAGCACTGAGGTGGCTCTACCAGGAGAAGTCATTGCAAATGCCTGAGTCCTGGAGCCATGCCAGAGAGGTGTCACACTCCCCCCGACCTGTTACAGATCTACCTGCACGTCCTCCCTGGCACCAAGTAGGAATGATCAGCCAAGTCAGCCTATTCCACATGGGGCCAGGATATTAGCCCAAGTGTCTCTAAAGATGAGATTATTTAATACCAGAGCTCCATGCAGCATACTTTATTTCCATATAATTACCTCCTAATTTTAAAATCTACGTATTTTAAATTCTAAGCACACTCTGGGGGTGGGGGGCTGATCTTCATGGTCACACTTTAAACATTGCCCACCAGTGTCTTCCCACATCTCTCCTAGAAACAGTTTCGCATGATCCTTTCTCTGACTTTCCTTTTATGAGAAGAGAAATGCACCCATCTACAGAAATAGCTGTATTGCAAATAGTCGTAAAAATAAGGTTTTGCCAAGAAATTGATCTAATGCTATTTCTCCTTCATGTGAATTTAATTGGCTTCCTCAAAGCAGGGTTGCCTGGAACCTTTCAATCAGATCAGGATAATATTAATAAAGCTTGGTTGCCTGGTCACCACGGACGTGCACGTTCTGTGTTTCGTGGCTTTATTTTAAATCCCCATATGCTTGCACTGGCCAGCTCTCTGTCAGCTCAGCTAAAGTGTATCTGGCCGCCCCAACAAAGTGTTTGCCGTCTACGTTCTGGACTTTGAAATGTCATGGTCACTCCCCAGCCGTCGCTCGGGTCCCTGGTAGAAGGTTGCTACTTCCCAAAGCACGAACTGAAACTGGGCCTTGGCAACAGTTTCCAGCCAGGGCAAGGGCTCCGAGAGACCATGTTGGAAAGTATCGGAAGGCTGTAGGCTGTACACTCTCAAGAGCAATGTCACCAGGACACATAGGCAGCAAAGCAGGGGCAATTCTGGATAGCAGCCAGCATGGTGATCTACTGCTGTAAGGGCCCTGGTGTGCGGGACAGTGCTTCCATCCACATCCCCAGGGAGCCCAGAAGGCTTCCTCAAGGCAATGGGAGCCACCAGAAAGCGAGAAGGGTTGGGAGAGCATTTCTCCAGGTCCCGTGGTCACCTGATCCAGCAAACAGGGCTCAGAGTCCTTCCTCCCACCACGGTCTCTCATTCAACGTGGGATTCAAGTCAACTAATAAACTACAAATTCCAGCTGGGTTCAGGCGACAGCATTGTGATGGAAGACGCATTTCTTTTGAGTAGGAGGAAAATAGGAATTAAATAGAGGAAGAAGAGCGGTCAGGGCTTGCAGGCGAGGGACTCTCGGAGGCAAAGGCCTGCCATCATGAACTACAGTGGGATCCAAATTCAGGTGAAGATTCGTTTATTGACTCGTTTGCCACATATCAGGCCCTGTGCTAGAAAACCAGAGTGCAGCAGAGAAACCCAGAAGTGCTGGCCCTGGAGGCCATGGTCTGAGGAAGACAGCAGAAAGGTCAAGGCCATTGAGTGTAAGGGACTTTTGCACCGGAAGCCATGGCAGGCAAAGCTGCCCCACCATCCTATGGTCTAGGGAGGGCTTCTTAAGCACGGGCTAGTAAAGGAAACATGACCCAGGTGAAGGTGAGATTCAGGGCTGGTGGGTCCTAGTGGCCCTGAGGGAATACATTCAGCAATGCAAGATTGGGAGTGAGGAGAAGGCTGAGTCTGCAGAAATCCCCCCCCAGGGCCTCTTCGGCTGGGACACTTGGAGCTTCTCCCAAGGGTACAGGAAGCCACCAAAGGGCATTGGCAGGGGAGGGCCACAATGGCCTCGGTTCTGGAGGGTGACCCCATGCCTAAAGGTAAGAGGGGAGCCATGGGAAGGCCAGCCAGGAGCTTCTGCAGATGCCTCCCGAGAGGCAAGAAGGCCTTGGTGCCCTGGCAGCAGGGAGTGGAAAGAAAGGGGGAGAGAAGCACGAGGGCCATTTTCTCATCGTCCTGGAGGCTGGAGGCTGGAGGCTGGGAGTCGAAGATCAAAGCACCAGCATGTCAGTTCTGGTGAGGGCTCTTTCCTGCCTTGCAGACTGCCACCTTCTTACAGCGTCCTCACACAGCATGGGGTGGTTGGGGGGGTGCTCTCTGGGGCCTCTTCTTACAAGGACAGTAATCCCATCATGAGGGCCTCACCCTCCTGATCTTATCCAAATCTAATTACTTCCCAAGGGTCTCCTCTCCAAAAACCATCACAGGAGGGGTTAGGGCCTCCACATATGAATTTAGGGGGATGGGGAGGAGGAGAGGACACAAATTCATAGCAGAATGGGATGTTTTAAACATCCAGTCCTGGACACATCCCACTTACCAAACTGACCAGGATCAACACAGCAAAAGCTTTGAGAGCTCGACGATGGTGTGGAATCCTGCCCGGGCTTCAGGCTGGCCTCTGGGTAGCTCGTGAGCATCAGACCACAAAAGCACTGCAAAGGCTTTGAAAAGTAATTGACATTTAAAACATAGCCCACAAAAGTGGGCCAGGACATGCGTTCTTAATATAAATAGCTTGACTGCCTGCTAAAATAGATATGTAGAAAGGGGAGCGTCTCATAACCTTGTACTTGAAATGCCCAGGATATAATCCAAAATTACTCATAACAAGAGCCAAGAAAATCTCAACTCAGATGAGAAAGCATAATCAGCAGATAGCAGTACTGAGACTACGCAGATGTTGGAATTATCTGACAAGGATTTTGAAGCAGTTATATAAATGCTCCAACAAGCAATAACAAGCACTCTCTTATTTTTTTTTTTTTGTGGCTTTTCCAACTTTATTTAGAAAAACAAATCCAGGTCCCAGTGCCCCCACACCCTCCCCCCACCCCAGCCATAATTTAAGTAACTTAGAGACAGCGTTGGGGGTTGGGGGTCGGGGGTCGGTGCCAGGGGGAGGGGGTAGAACTGGGAGAAAAACCCACTACAGTCGCCACAGTGCCCGCTTCTCGTCCGTCTTTTCCTTGGCCACCAGCTTCTTACCCCGCTCACCCGCATGCTTCTTGGCCATGGGACCGTTGGCCCCTCCCGGGCCCATGGGGTCAAGGAGGGGGCCTCACCCCCACTGGCCAGGGCCCTGCTGGCCTCGGCGCTCCCGCCGCTAGGCCCACCGGCGCCCCCATGTATCTCGGTGAGCAGGCGGGCACTGGCCGGGTACTCCTCCTAGTTCTCTAAGAGCAGATGGCCTGCCTCCTTGTTGAGGGCCGACTCACAAGCACTCTTTAAGCAAATGGGAGAAGTAAACAAATCTCAGCAAAAACATGAAAAATATAAAAAAAAGAACCAAATGGAAATTTTAGAAATTAAAGATACAATAACTAAAATTAAAGATACAAAACAAAAATAATACTGGATGAGCTCAACAGCAAGTGGAAAATACAGAGGGAAGGATTAGCAAGCTTGAAGAAAGTTAATAAAATTACCTAACTTGGACAACAAGGAGAAAGTCATTTTCTTTTTTTTTCTTTTTTAGTAATCTCTATGCCCAGCAAGGGGCTCAAAGTCATGACTCCGAGATCAAGAGTCGCACACTCAACCAACTGAGCTGGCCAGATGCCCCAATAATTTTCTTTAAAAAAAAAAAAGGAATAGAGTCTCAGGACCTGTAGGACAATAACAAAAGATCTAAACTTTGTGTCAGTGGAGTCCTAAAAGGAGAGGATGTCACCACTTCTATTCTACATAGTACTGAGTCTAGCCAGAGCAATTAGGCAAGAAAAAGAAACAAAAGGCTTATCTCTGTTCACAGATGATATAACTTCATATACAGATAGCCTAAAAGGTTCCACAAACACACACAAAAGAAATGTTAGAACTACTAATAAAGGAAATCAGAAAAGTTGCAGGATACAAAATCTACATGCAAAAAATCAGTTGCATTTCTAGTATACCAACAACTAACGGTCTGAAAAAGATTGTGAAAACAGTTCCATTTGCAATTGCATCAAAAAGAACAAAATACATAGAAAGTAGTTTAACCAAAAAGGCAAAAGACTTGTGCATTGCCATCTACAAAATTTTGCTGAAAGACAGTAAAGAAGACGCAAACTGATGGAGAGACATTCTGTATTCATGGGCTGGAAGACTCAGTATTGTTCAGATGTCAGTACGACCCCCCCACCCCGCTGCCGCAAATGACAGATTCAGTGCAATCCTATTAAAATCCAAATGGTGTTTTTTATAGTAATAGAAAAATCCATCCTAAAATTCATATGGTATCTCAAGGAATTCCAAATAACCAAAACAATCTTGAAGATGAAGAATAAAGTTGGAAGATGGAAGACTCACACTTCCTGATTTCAACACTTTTTACAAAGCTAAAGTAATCAAAACAGTGTAATACTGGCATAAAGACAGACATATAGGCCAAGGGAATAGGGTAGAAAGCCCAGAAATAAACTCTCACAGATGTAGTCAGATGATTTTTGACAAGGGTGCCAAGACCATTCAGTGGGGGAAAGGACAGTCTTTTCAATAAATGGTGCTGGGAAAACTGGATGAAAGAATGAAATTGGACCCTTACCCCACACCACATACAAAAATTAACTCAAAATGGATCAAAGAATTAAACATAAGGGCTGGACTCTAAAACTCTTAGAAGAAAACATGGGGGGGAAGCTTTATGACATTTGATTTGGCAACGATTTCTTAGATATTACTATAAAAGCACAGACAACAAAAGAAAAATAGATAAATTGCACTACATCAAAATTTAAAACTTCTGTACATCAAAGGATGCAATCAATAGAGTGAAGAGGCAACCCACGGAATGGGAGAAAACATTTGCAAATCGTATGTGTGATAAAGAGTTAATATCCAGAATATACAAACAACTCCTATAACTCAACAACAAAAAATAAACCACCCAGTTCAAAAATGGGTAATGGATGTGAGTAGGCATATTCAAGCAGAAATTCAGTAGAAATCTCCAAAGAAGATAAACAAATGGCCAATAAGTACATGTGAAAATGTTCAACATCACTGATCATGAGGGAAATGAAAAATAAAACCACAATGAGATACCACCTCAAACTCATAAGAATACCACTATACAAAAACAAAAACAAAAACAAAAAAACAGAAAATAAAATGGTGAGGATGTGGAGAAACTGAAATACTTCTGAACTGCTAAAGGGAATATAAAACAGTGCACGCAGTTACTGTGGAAAACAGTATGGTGGTTCTTCAAAAAATTAAACGTAGAATTACCATATGATCCAGCAATCCCGCTTTTTTTAAAGATTTTTATTTATTTATTTATTTATTTATTTATTTATTTATTTATTTATTTGAGAGAGGGCGAGCGAGAGGGAAAGCATAAGCATGGGGAGCAGCAGGTAGAGGGAGAGGGAGAAGCAGACTCCCCGCTGAGCAGGGAGCCCAACGTGGGGCTCGATCCCAGGACTCCAGGACCATGACCTGAACCAAAGGCAGACACTTAACCAATTGAGCCACCCGGGTGCTCCACAATCCCACTTCTGTGTATACACCCAAAAGAATCAAAAACAAGACCTTGAAGAT